GGCCGTGCGTGAAGAGGGAGGGGACGGGGGCCCTCACGGCCCCGGGGGCGGGCGGCATGCGTCCCCTCGGCCTCATCCCGCAGCCGTGCCCCAGGACTGGCGACTCCTACATCCGCGAGGTGGGGGGCGTTTTGTCAGGGATTGCGGATTTTGGACCATAAATCACTTCGTGAAGTCATCACCGCCGCGGCTCTCGGGTTGCTCGGAGTCTTTTCCCCGCTTATGACACGCCCTTGTCGGGCCCGGGACAAACCCGGAGTCTGCAGGGGAACATGGCTTGGTTTCAGTTGCTTCTGCTGCGAGCCCGCTGCCCTGAGCCGGAGGCATCTCATCTGCCGCCTTTACTCCTCGTGCTCTAAAAATGGCAAGGAGGAAAATCTCTGCCTCGTGGTTGCAAGGGCGCTTTCATCATTGACCGACAAGGTTCTTTGGGTGAATCTGATATCTTATTAGACCAACTCAAATAGTTGGAAAGATTTTTCTTAGCAAGCTTTCATTGACTGACATTTGGGAGATGCAGGGTTTTAAAGTCTCCTTTTAAACTTTTCCCAAGCCTGAAAGAGTTTCTTAACCCTTTGCAACTTCAACATCACCTCTTCTTTAGGCCAGCAAGAAAAATTTCCCATTCCCGTCATGTTTTCTCACCTGGTTTGGTCATTGCACCAGAATTTGACCCTACTCCCAACTTGTAATGTGGTTATGGGTGCCACTGTGGACAGACTGCAATTTTGAGGAGGGGGTGCACATGGTGAGGTGCATCGTCATGTGTAAAACAACAGTATGCATCATCAGTATAAAGCAACACACAGTTTTCTCTGGTTCAAAATAGACTAGAAGCTTTACTAATATGGGCCTAGGGCTGTATTGAAGGAAAACCAAATATAACTTTATTGGAATAAATTGAAAACAGTCTGCAGTAGGCACTTCATTACCAGGGATAGCTAACAGGCTGCAACATTGCAGAACAAAGGTAGCTTGACTGGTGGAACATTAGGACCATTAAAAAAAAAAAGAGAGAGAGTCGTTAACACCTGTGGAATGAAGAGTTGGGAAGGGAGCAGGGAGATGATAATGAACCATGAAGTCAATTGACTAGAAATGCTGCTGCCAGGCAATAAGTTTTAAACTGTGGGTGGAGCAGGAATCGAAGGGGTGCAAGTGCACCAGCACATCACCCCTCTGCCCTCCTGGGATCCACCTTTGTGTGCTGTACAAAGTATTTAGGTTGGGGCATGCAGTAAATGTCTGGTGCTAGAATGCTAGCATTTTTCTTACCTTCTCACTTTCCCTTCATGCAGCCATATGTCCTGCCATTTACTGCAACAGTTCCCTGGCTTACAGAGTTCAATATTTTTCTGTATCTCATCTCATCTGGATAAAGATGCTGGAGGATTTCACTGTTTAGCTTATATTCTCTAATCTACTCTTAAACCAACTGTTTTCCACTGTACTCTGAATGATTCCCAGCAGTTGCCATCTAGTGTGCCAATCACCTTGCTTGTCTAAATCCCTTTGCATCAGGCTGTGATGTTCCCGATTTGCTTATATTAAAGCTGGAACATAATGAGGCAGTCTTATAGTGAATACCTTTATGGATAAAACACCTGACCCATTTGACGGCTCATACCTAGGCCCTTTTGGCACTTGGAAGCAGCTGTTAAATTTAAGGCAGTTTTCCACCCACACCCTGCTTACTTTTTATCTGTTTAAGATGTGGAATTTTTGTCAGAGGTTTATAGTTCATAGAATCATAGAAAATGAGGGTTGAAAGGGACCTCAGAAGGTCATCCAATCCAACCCCCTGCTCAGAGCAGGACCATCCCCAAATATATCATCCCAGCCAAGGCTTTGTCAAACCTCAAAGGATAGAGATTCTACCACATCTCTAGGTAACCTATCCCAGTACTTCACCAGCCGCCTGTCTAGCTCCCCTTTGTAACCACCCTTCAGGTACTTAAAGGCTGCTATCAAATCCCCCCTCAGTCTTCTCTTCTGCAGACTAAATAAGCCCAGTTCTCTCAGCCTCTCCTCAGAAGTCACGTACCCCTGCTCCCTCACCATTTTCGTTGCCCTTTGTTGGTCTCTTCTCAACTTGTCCACATCCTTTCTCTAGAGACCAAAAACTGGGTATGGTACTCCAGGTGTGGCCTCACCAGTGCAGAATACAGGGGAATAATTACTTCCCTCAATCTGCTGGCAACACTCCTACTAATGCAGCCCAGTATGCTGTTAACCTTTATGGCAACAAGGGCATATTGTTGATTTATATCCATCTTATTGTCCACTGTAACCCCCAAGTCCTTTTCTGCCAAGCTGCTGCTTAAGCCAGTTGGTCCCGAACCTGTTGTGCATGGGATTCTTCCATCCTAAGTGCAGAACTTTGCATTTGTCCATGTTGAATGGTATACAATTTCTTTTGGCTCAACCCTTCAATTTGTCCCCTTCACTCTGAACCCTAACCTTACCCTCCAGCATATCTACTGCACCCCCAGCTTGGTGTCATGCATGAACTTGCTTAGGGTGCAGTCTAATTTTCCAGATTTGTTAATGAAGACATTGAACAAAACCAGCCTCACAACCAACCCCTGGGGCACTCCACTTGATACTACTAGCTGCCACCTAGACCTCAAGCCATTGATCACTGTCCATTGAGCCCGACAATCCAACCAGCTTTTTTTCAGTGTCACCCCACCTAACCTCTTACAGTAGTCCCATTTTCAAGGGCTTCCAGATGGCTTATGAAATATAGCATTCCTCATGATAGTACACTGAAACCTGTCTGAGAGAGTTACACAGGACCATCAATAAGTTCCAGTTTAAGCAGTTTTCCCTTTTATTAGGGAGAACAAAGACGAAACTGGGATTTTTGATGCTCCATAATAACATCCCTTTGTTTTAAGATGCATATAAACATGTGCATTGACATAGTTGTTCACAACAATATAATACAATTGGCATTAAAATGTATAGAAAAAACATACAGTACAATAATGTTAAAGGGCATACTGCATATAAGATATTTTGCTTACAGTTCACGTAGTCATCCTGGCCACACTTTGTTGGAGTAGTACAGGGATGTCCAACCTTTTTGAATGTGGGGCCAGATCACGAACTTTTCATCACCCAGTGGGCCGGCGAGCCATATTCAAAGATGTCACAGGAAGTGGTATCGTATACATACAGTACAATAATGTTAAAGGGCATACTGCATATAAGATATTTTGCTTACAGTTCACGTAGTCATCCTGGCCACACTTTGTTGGAGTAGTACAGGGATGTCCAACCTTTTTGAATGTGGGGCCAGATCACGAACTTTTCATCACCCAGTGGGCCGGCGAGCCATATTCAAAGATGTCACAGGAAGTGGTATCGTATAAGGAAGTGATGTCACATGACCTTTGACACCAATGAAGTTGCAGGGGTTGACATGGTGCTGGTTGACATGGCATGCATGCCTGGGTTGACATGGTGCTGCAAGAGCCGCTTGGCTACAACCAGGTTGACCTGGTGCTGGAGAAGCCGTGGGGCCAGGCCAGGGTTAACCTGGGGCCCGCCTGGCCTGCCAGTGCCATGCCCGGGTTGACATGGTGCTGCAGGACCCGCCTGGGCAGAACCGGGTTGGCACCGGCCAGGAAAAGTAGCATGCAGCTGAAGCCAGCTTCCCATGTGCTGCTGGGGATGGGAGGAGGCCAGCCAGGTCTGCACCGGCCAGGCC